CATTACCCGGCTAGGTAACATCTTCAGTGCTAAAATGGGATGGGGTTTGCTCTCTATTTATATGCTGTGGCCTGCCTTGCTACACATATTCACCTCTATTGGTTTCACAATATGTGTTTTTAAAATTCTGCCACTGGTTTTCATAGGTGCCTGTATTGATACATCTGAATCCTGTCCCATCACCACATCTTTATTTTAAAAGTTAAGAGTGGAACTAGCAAGATTGCATCATATTGACATAGGAACTGATCGGTATAATGGATCAGTTTAATGCTATCTTGTAGCCATCAGCCTATTAATATTGATATTTCTATCATGAGAAATAAGTCAATGAACAATCTATTAGATAGTACAGGATCTTCTGAAATTTTCAGTGTGTCAGACTGAGGCAGAATCTTGTCTTGCACTTTGTCAGTTCCCATCACTAACTTGTGCTTCATTTAGAGCCTTAGCAAGTCAGACTCTTCGACTTAGCACTTAGGAAAATAATGAGTATTTCAAGCTCAGGTTTAAGAAGGAACAAGGCAGAGACCTTTTGCTTGTGTTGCTTCAGCTGCATTCAAGAGGACTTAGCACAGATGGATTGTGCATTACAAAATGTAACACATAATTCAAGCTGTCAGCTTAATCAGACTGTTTCCAGGAAGCAACCTGTAAAGAGAAAGACCCCTTGTTTGCTGACCCCTGATCCATAGCCTGCTGCATCATGTCATCCATTTTGTTTTTCTTTATTTATGTGTCCTTTCCTTCCCCTTCTTTTTATTAATGTATTCCCTTCAAGTGGCACCCTGGAAAGACCACCCAGAGGGAGGAGCACAATAGGGAATGACCTAGCTGAAATAGAGATTTTGTAAGACTTCAGTGCAGTGAAAAGCCCCGTTGAACTGCCTGTGTGTTCTTACTGGTTCAATGTGTGTTAGTTTAAAATGAAAAACTCCACTCCCACACCACCTTCATTTTCCAGTGTTCACCATTACTGTTATGGAAATGCACTGCAATTGTTTTTAGTAACTAACTTAAATATTTTATAGCGTCATGTGAATCATGCATACACTATGCATTAAAGTTGTAGATATTTCAGAAGCTTGGTAAGATTGTTGAATGTTGTTTTTGTACTATGGTTTATAGGCCAGCTGTGTGTTTGCTTTATAGAGTTCTGCTGGAACAAAGCTGGCAGTCTGAAATAAAAATCTGAATAGCTATTTACACGTCTATAAAAGGATTAGCAATACCCAATTGTTAAAATGCTTAAATCTTAATTTGCATCATTATAGAGGTATCCCATTATTACAATTCCCTATAAGTCGCAGTTATGTTTTCCACCTGTAGGGAACCATTAGCCTTTTCCATTCATATAGCATTTTTTGGTCCTTTTAAATTAGAAATAGATAAATGCTGAGCTGCTTCAAAGTTTGCAGTGTCATTGCATTGTTGTTCAAACATGGACCTAAAATTTATTAAGTCTCTTTGCTAATCACATAGACATAAAGATTATCAGATAAATTACTTGTGCTAAAATAGTCTAGCAGAAAAGACTCAACTTTTATAAACCAAATCAGGACAGTGTTTTACTACTAGTTACATGAATTTTGCAAACTTATGTTATACAACCCTGACGTGAAAACTTGAGCTATGGCTGATATAGGTTTGTATGTCTCATTCTTTTCTTTTTCCTTTGACATTTAGGGATTCTCGATATATATGATGCCAGATTCACATTGCAAATTTCTTATCTCTGCTTTGTTGATTGCTACTTGTGAAGATAAAAAATATACAATATGATAATGTTGCCTCATACAGCATTTGTCACACTGTTGTATCCCTATCTAAATGTCACAGAAAAGGGATGATAAAAAGTTTTATTTTCAGGTGATATAGCTCAGTGTTTGTTGGTATAATCCAAAGAAGGCATATACAGTGAAATACGCCTTCTCTATTTATATTTCTATGCCCTATTTTAATGTCAATGTTTTAGCAGGTTGTTAAACAGCATTTGTTCTTGCTACTGCATGAAATGCAAATAATATTTTTTTTTCTTATTTCTGCAGAGAATGTCTGTCATTTGAAGGATTCTGTCATGTCTTAACATTCATAGAAGAGCTGGTGGCCGGAGTATCTCCTGAATGCCCAGCATTATACCAGAGGGAAACTATGAATACAGTAGAACTAGAGAAGCTTATAAGGTTAATGAATATTTTCATTTAATGTGAAAAATTAGAATACTATCTGTCTAACTATTCAGGTTGTGGCTTTGATAACTCTGAATTTATCTCAGATAGGTCCTCCATCACAAAAATTCTGGATTGTTCTCATTTCAAATTGGTCTGTTCAGAAGAATAATATAAATGAGATGTTTTAACAACAAGGCATGGCATGCACAGTATACTTCAGGGTTCATATTAAATGGGTCAAAGTGATTATAACTCTCAACATATTTTCTTCAGCACATATATTGTTATTTATTTGGGGTCTCACTATAACACCCAGTAACCTCTCCCGATACTTAAGGTAAATATTCCTCTTCTTTTTGGAATGGCCGTCCATACTTGAGTAGTCTGTGGGTAAGATCTCTTTATTACAATGTTGCAGAAACAATTTGGTTGCCTTAAAGTAATAGATTCTTCATTAATATAGTTTAAAAAATTGTTAAATTGAAGAGACTTTATATTTGGCAGTGCAGCTAAGCTTTCATTATTCTGATTTACTTTAGTGAATTACAAGTATTCTCATTGCACCTCCCCCCCCCCCCCCCCCCCCCC